CACTCTTATTAGTAAACAAGATACAATAAGGCTTTTATACAAACAAAAACGAAAAATTAAAAACCGTATATCTAAATGATATCCTCATCGCTTTTGGAATTGTCAAATTCTTGGGGGGGGGAAAAAAAAAACAATGATTCAGTTGAAATGAAAAGGCCAGGAATCTAGTACTTCAAGAGTAACTTCTCAGTAAGAAGATATCCCGGAGGGGGAATTAATTGGGCTGCTAGATTTTAAAAGCAGTATTGTCCCCCTAACATAATTTAACGAAGTATTGATTGTTGTTAATTTGAATTTGAATTCTTTTTAAAAAAATGTGTCATTGTTAATTTTAATTTCGGTTTGGGGATATCCTATTTAATTTCTTTTTAACTTTTATATCATGTGTTTCTTTTAATGTTGTACACCGCCCTGAGTCCTTGGGAGAAGGGCGGCATATAAATCGAATAAACCTAAACCATAAACCATAATTCATAATGTAACATAATTTCTGGTACAGCCTTTTCATTGTGCAGCAGAGATGTCCAACCTCGGCAACTTTAAGGCCTGTGGACTTCCAACTCCCAGAATTCCCAAGGCAGCATGACTGGCTGGGGAATTCTGGGAGTTGAAGTCCACAAGTCTTAAAGCTGGCTGGGGAATTCTGGGAGTTGAAGTCTACAAGTCTTAAAAGTTGGACACATCTGTTATACAGTATGCTAAGAATCCAGTGAGAGTTGAGAAGTTAGTGTACTTTTGCCATCTGAGTAGCCATCTAAGATTCTGAGCATGAACTCTCATAATCTACAACTAGTGTGGCAAATCTTGCTGGGAGCATGGGTGTAAAACTTGGGGGGGGGGGATAACCCTCCCTCCAGGCCAACCACCGATGCCAAATGGTGTCACCAGTTCAGCAAAGCAGTTTCAGTGTCTCTGAAACGTTCTTTGAGGCTCCATTATTGCCCTAAAGATGACGGATTAAAACTCTTATTCTTTTGTATTTCCACCTTCTCTAAAAAGGATGTTTTTTGGACACCTATTGTTTGACTGCACAGCACGCACCCAACACAGAGAGAAACTGACCACACAACAAACAGGAAATTGACTAATTTACACCTGTGGCTGGGAGATTATGAGAATAAGAGTCCAGATCATTTAGGAAGCCTATAGGGTGGAAATGGCCACTCTAGGACCTCAACTTTCAGCTCCTTTGTGATATCAAAGCCTAACTGGCTAGAGCCACAGAGGAAGTGTACCTTTTAATAGAGCATTTTCCTAGGAAGGACACCCTCTCTTAGTCACTTTTGTAAACATAGTGCCAAGTTATAAAAGAAAATGCACATTTTCAAGTAAAGACCTATTACTGCATCATAAATAAAGAACATGTATTAAAGGCAATACTTGAGTACCTGAATATTTCCTTTTTAAAAAAAATATCAGAGCATTTGCTTCCCTTCCCGCAATAAAGTAAAACAAACAGAATGGGGACACACACACCCTAAAAATCAGGCCTCTTTTATTTACCTCAACAGTGTCAGTCACATCTCTTTCGCGCATGAAAACCTATTTAAATCTGTTTCAAGTGAGAGCATCTTTTAGGTGCACAGAGAAAATTAAGTCCAGTATTAGACGGTTTTAATAATGTGCATGTACAGCAGAGATATGCTTGAAAATAAACATAATTCAATTGTTAGGATAAATTATAATATTGCACACGGCAGTCTCGGAATATGTAACATATTTTTTGTATTTCTGATCATCACTGACCTTACATGGTTTTTTGTTTTTTTTTAAAGGTTAGCATGGAGAATTTTAAGTGAAGATCCGCGAATATTTCAAAATGTCAGTTTCACACTGAAGAAAATCATGACCACTATTGTTATCTGCAGCCTGAGAGATTTCAGCAAAATCTTTTCATCAGATTATATTCATAACGTGTCCAAAAGAAATGTTCCCATGGAAACAGAAAGTGAATATTTCCTTTTTTAAAAATAAAGTTGGTCCAAATCAGGGATTGTATTATTTTATTTTATTTTTAAATGAATGTTAAGCAAGCTTTTAAGAAAATCATAATATTGGGAGTGGTGCTAATGTTAGGGGAATAGCTTCTTTTCCAGATTAATCTTTGAGGTGCATTTTCGATGAACCCTTTCCCTATTTAAAAAAAACTCTTCCCCAACCTCCAAAATAAATATTACACACTCTCATGACACATCCAGCAAATAAAAAACGAAAAGCAACATATACCAAAACAATAAATAAATATAAAATACAATATTGGGTTGGTTCTCTGACTTTAGAAAAACAGGTTCCAGTTTCTGAGATTGTGCTTAAGTTATTGTTTCCTATTACTACTTAATATGTTTCTTGAACACTGGCATAAATCTTATTAAAAGACTGGACTGTTAAAGTTACAGTGATTTTATAAACCTGAAAAATTATTCTACATTTAAAAGAACACCACAGACTGTGACACTTCTGATATGGTTGGAAAAAAAGTACTAACAAGCAGCTCTATTGTAACAGAACGTAAATCAAAATATTTTTTCATTAATTCATCATTTATGTCACCCACTGACATAAATAGGGAGGCAATCAATTGAGTTGATCAATCATCTCAGGTCGAAACCTTTTTTTTTTTTTAAAAAAAAACTTATTTAACCTTGTCCTAATGAATGGTGCTTTCTAAGAGTATGACTATTTCTATTTATTTCAATGGTTTTAATGGTTTGCACAGGCAAAATGCCTGATTCAGTGATATTGTATGTTGCCTGTCCCCGTTAAATGTTGAGGTCTTTGAAATAATATATATTTATATATGTATATAATGCGTGTCTGTGTTTACATACACATACACAGAAGCTACCCCTAAATATTTCCATCCATCTCTGGAAATTGCACCTGGCTTTATTTAGATCCGGGCTGGTTCCTGATAACTGGCAAATCCCTTGTGACTTAAGTATGCTGAAATTTCTTACTAGGAGCTTTTAACATATCCTCACCTTTAGCTTCCTGACCAACATGAGAATCAGAAAACACATTATGGATTGGAGGTAACACACTCACACCATTGCACTGGAATAACGCCGTTCCACTCAGTGGAGACACAGAAATAACCTGGTGACTGTTTTCTATCCCACCCACCCACCCACCCACCAAAGGCGTACGTGTGAAATATACGGAATATAGGAAGGGATTCTTAGAACCGTTCAAACTGAGAAGAGTCCTCGTCACACAATTTTCTCTCTCTTTTTGCCACCAGATGCACATTATAATATTTTTTTTTTATCTTAACGTGGAAAGGAGACAAGAAAACCAATCGCGATTTATCAGTCACAGACTGTTTTTTGGTTTACAATGTAAATATAAGACCACTTGCAACCAACTGGGGAGGGGGGGGACAGAAAGAAACATTAAGGTTTGTGTACCGACGTTTTTTTTTCTTAACCTGAAAGCTTTAGGTAGGCCTCAGCACGGGACGAGTGAATTTGTACAAATGTGCAATGGTTTCTATCAGCTTTCGGTTGCGAGAGAATGGATGACGCATTCCAGTTTTCCTGCAATGCGGTTTTAAGAGCATAAACACGATTCCTTCCCAGTCTTTTTTTCCCCTCTATTCCTTCCCCCAAAACCCCCAATGGCTTTTTGACTCAATTTATTTCCATCGTTAAGAGACGGGTGGTCGACAGCTTAACTCTGTCCTTGGTTCAGACGCGAGTGATGAACCCTAGACCCAAACTAGCTGGGATCTGGATAGTTTCTAACGCAAGAGAGGAAGGGTTGAATGGGAAAGTGACGGGGAAAATATGCTTAGCATCCATTAGGAGTTGAGGAGAATCCTTCTTGTCCCGCATTCGCAGCTGCAAAGAGAAGAACGGAATCACGTTAGTGTCTTGTTTAAGAGGCAGGCAGTCCTCGACTTACAACGGCTCTCTTAGAAACCTCTCAAAGTTGCAACGGAAAAAAGCGAGTGATGGCTTTTTTTCCCCCCACACTTGCGGCCGTTGCAACATCCTCATGGTTATGTGATCAAAATTCGGATGCTTGGCAACTGGCTCATCTTTATGACGGTCGCAGTGCCCTGGGCAGTGGTGAGATTCAGCCAGTTTGCACCACTTTGGGAAAACCGGTTGTTACATTTCTGAGCCGTTCGGTGAACTGGTTGTTGGAAGAAATCATTAGGGCAGAGAACCAGTTGTTAAATTATTTGATTTGACAACCTTCTGATGAGGAAGTCAATTCACTTAACAACCATGTCACTAATTTAAGAACTGCAGTGATTCGCTTCACAACAGAGCCAAGGAAGGTTGTAAAGTGGGCCAAATGGTCTCACTTAGCAATGGAAATTTGGAGCTCAATTGTGGTTGTAAGTCCGGGACAACCTATACACAACCCAAGANAGGCCTGGGGCTAAAGAGTTTTTGCCCCCCTTCTCGAATGGTATGGTTGTTGTGTGTTTTTAAATTTTGCATTGTTATGTCTCGTCTTTTTTATTCCCCTGTCTGTACCCCCTTCCCTGATTGAATTGTGAGCCGCCCTGAGTCCCCTTTGGGGAAAAGGGCAGCATATAAATGTAATAAATCTAATCTAATCTAATCTAATGCAAGGCAGATTCCTCTATACGGTTTTGTCACATATGTTAGCCTGATCTGCTCCTGAAGCAGGCGCTTCCAGGCGCCTCCATCTGCAAATATTACGAGCCACCTACAGATCAGGGAACCTGCCTTACAAATAAACAATAGGTTTACTTTCATGTTGACTCACAGTCGGATCTCCCCCTTCAGCATCGCAAACAGGAGCATTGCTGGAGTGACTGGAGAAAGTATAAAGATTCAAACTGTCTTACTGGTACACTACAGCATGGTTACCTGACACCTGTCTGAAACTGGAGAATTACACAATCCTATACAAAAAAATCCGCAAGTACACCATTGAAGCTTTCAAACATGAGGTCATCTGCGTGCTTCTTTTTTATTTTTTTCTACAAGGATTTTTAAAGCTCCTGCAAAAACACTTCCTGATCATTTAAGTATGCAATTCTGACACAGGAATTCTGCAGGTGATTCATGCTTTTGGAGTCACACACAATAAATTTTCAAAGGCATTTGAAGGTACACGAGGTGTGTCTACCACTTGTGGGTCCTTCCTACAGGGGGACCCACAACTTACAACCAAATTTAGGACCAGAGTTTCTGCTGTTAAGCCAGGCAGTTGTTAAGTAAGACACTCCCAGTTTTCCATTGGTTTTTTTTTTGCCCATGGTTGTTAAGCAAACCGCTTCAAGTGTTAAGCGAATCACACAACTGTGAAGTATTTTATTTATTATTATTAATCACTTTTAATTATTAAAAGTGAATCGGGCTTCTTCTTTGCTTGACAGATACTGTCTGTTAAGTAACAAAAGCAATCATATGACACCAGAATGCCGCAACCATCATAATAAATATATACTGGTTGGCAAAGCACCCAAATTCTGATCACCTGACCAGATGCCACAATAGTTGTGTTAGTACTGTCGGAAGTCACTTTTTTCAGTGGGGTAATTTCAAGCAGTCACTAAATGAAAGGTTGTAAATCGGGGATTGCCTGTAGCACCTCTGAATCTGGAAAGACTAGCAAATGTATTATGGGATATAAAGTTTCTCTCCGTAAGTCAACAAAAGGACTGCCGAGCGCTTTGGGGGTTCAGTCCTTCTGCCAACTGGTTTCACTGCAATTTAACTCCAGGTTTGCTGGGATTGTGCAACCCCAAACGATATTGTTGAAATTAGATATTGTTGAAATTTCTTCGAGAGAGTTTTTATACCACACAACCAGATTTGCATAATACGTGTAATCAAGTCAGGTTAAAAAGCCAAGGAGAGAGGGATTCACACAACATATCGAGACTTGTCTACCTTGGTTAGAAGTTTTCGCCTCCCTGGTTTAAGCATGTGGGGAAAAGCAGCACATTTGGTTAATTGATAGGCGGGGGGGGGGGCACAAACCCAGGAAAATGGGTTTGTTTGGGAAGCAGGGGAAGATTGTGGTGTGAAATGTTTCCCTGAGGCTGCCCACTCAAGTGCCCACTCAAGTCTGTTGCAGCTCTTGAAGGAAGCAACTTTGGGAAAAGGTTTACTGGACCAGTCATGTCTAGGACCCCGGGCCTTAAGCCCAGGAAAGGAAGTCTTGGGAAAAAAGAGGGGAGAGGGAGAACAGGAAAAGAAAAAGTCTGAAAAATGGAGATGATAGAGGGGAGGTGGCAGAAGAAAGAAAGAGAGAGGGGGAGGGGAGGAGGAAGATGAAGAAAGGAAGGAGAGAGTGGGGAAAGACAGAAAGAAAGAAAGAAAGAAAGAAAGAAAGAAAGAAAGAAAGAAAGAAGGATGGAGGAGGGGGAGAGAGAAAGAAAGAAAGAAGGAAGGAGGGAAGGAAATAAGGAAGGAAGAAGGGGAGGAAGGGAGAGAGAGAAAGAAAGGAGAAAGAAAGAAGGAAGGAGAGAGAAAGAAAGGAAGGAAGGAAGGAAGGAAGGAAGGAAGGAAGGAAAGAAGAAAAGAAGAAGGGTGGAAGGGAGAAAGAGAAAGAAAGAAGGAGAAAGAAAGAAGGAATGAGAGAGANAGATAGATAGATAGATAGATAGATAGATAGATAAGAGAGAGAGATGATAGAGATAGATGGATGGATGGATGGATGGATGGATGGATGGATAGGTAGAAAGATAAATAGATGAGAGAGAGATGAGAGAGGCAGACAGACAACAGACAGATAGACAGATAAGATAGGTAGATAAGTAGGTAGATAGATATTGGGGTCTAGTTTTTGTTTTGTTCTTCTGCAGAATTCTTAAATTCTATCATGTCGCCCCCCCTAGTCCTTCTCTTTATTAGACTAGATGTACCCAATTCCTGCAACCGTTCTCCATACGTTCTTTTAGCCTCCAGTCCCCTAATCATCTTTGTCGCTCTTGTCCCGGAAGAGGGTTACCTGTGCAGTAGTCAATGCGTGGCACATGGAGCAGATGGCCCCTGCGTCCTCGTCGGTCTTCTTTTTCACTTGTAGCAGCTGGGCAGCCTGGATCAAGGGCTCAAGGGTCTCCTTGGCACCGCTGGTCATCAGGTTTTTGTCGCGAAGCCATTCTTCCAGCTGGCTTACGTTGTACCTACGTTTTGAAAAAAATAGAGCAAAACCTTTAGCAACTTTGTTTAGTCAGCCCGCCTAAGTGGAAATTGTTTTCTGAAGGCATTCCTGCTCGGAGGTGCTCGGTTAATTATTAACACAAATGTTTTGTTACGAGGGGTAACAGCAGCTCCTTGTTGTGGGCAAGAATGCTCAGAATGCCTTTAGTCCTTTAATATTCCCCATTCCTCCTTTTTCTGGTACTTGGTGTGAAGTTGGATAGAGGGAATTTTTTTCGCCATCGATTTGTGTTCTTTTATAGTTAGCGGGGGAAACAGGGTGTTGATTCAGACAGAAAAACATACTGGTCCATTCAGGAATTCTGATTTATAAATAGTCAATAGACTTGTGTGTGTTTCTGTGGCATCTCTGTTACATTGTTTTTTTTCCCCATTTCTAACAATTTGTAAGTCACCAAGAACAGCCAAGAATCAGGCAGGGTTTAAATGTAATCAATGATTGTTTGTTGTTATTTTTAACTTTTTTTAAAAAAACTTTTTAATAAATTTATATGCCGCCCAATCCCGTAGGACTCCGGGTGGCTTACAGAAACAAGTTAAAATAAGGAATTAAAAATAAAAGAAACAATTTAAAAAGAAAGAGTTTAAAAAACAACACAACATACACTCAATCTGTGTGGGGCTGGACCTCATTCATGAGCTCAACAGCCCCAGGCCTGCCGGAATAACCAGGTTTTAGTGGCTTTTCGGAAGGCC